GGGTCCTTTGTAGTGGGTTGTGATGTAATCAATCAAGTCAGCACGGCTAATTGACCTGTAAGTTTCAATTTTGTTCTTAATGACTGACCTGTTGTACCACTTTTGTTTAGTTACATTTGAATATCCTGATTGATTCACAACTCTATCTTTTTCCAAGTTATTAATTCTATTTGTTTATAGTAATTGGCAGCTTCATTTATTGTAATTAATCATTCCCTAAAAAAGACCAACTCCTTTCCACAACACAGTATAAAGCAAAGTACATGTAAAACAGGACTCTGTGGTTTCTGCACAAACAAATGAAGTTAAAGAAACTTAGATTAATCCCTACGATTCCTTCATTCTTGTAACTCTTATTGTAGAAAATATGAAAATACTAATTTATTTTATTTGTAACAATGGTTATTCTTATAGACCAGTTGTCTATTTTAGCTTCTACATTACCGTGTGCAAAGCCGCAAACAGCTTACCATCTACTCGTAGAGCAGGATGAGCAGGTCAGCAAGATTCCTAAACAAGAATGCTACTAAGGGTAGCAAAAATGACAAAGGCAAAGGCCCTAACAATAAGCATTGTGTGGGACTGAGTAGACAAGGGCAGGGGGAAGGCACAAGGTGCATTCCAAATCATGACAGCCACTTATCTACATACTAAACCTTATCATGAAAATACATTTGAATCAGTTGTATCACACAAAAAGTGCAAGCATTAAAAAAAATCCCATTACAAGACAACATAAACAGGCGCCTCATAAAACAAGGATTACCTGTTTACATATGTGAACTACAAATTGTGTGTAGATTTTGACCTAACAGAAAAACTTAAAAATTCATTCATTAGAAAACTTACTTGATGTTCTTGGTGGGTCCAAGGATGGTCCTGCCAAGTGGTGTGCCCTGGAAGGCTACAGCATGAAGGTGGTCGAAAACAACTTCCTGAAGGTTGCTCTCTACTTCTTGCATCTCTCTTAGAATAACTCCACGTTCTCGTTCAATCTCAGCCTATATGAAAAATACATTCATGAGTAAATATATGTACCAGGTTTCTAGGCTCAAAAGTGACTCAATATGCTAGAAGACCCTGCATTTAAGATTAATAACAGTAAAATTTAGGCACATATTAGACTATTCAGAAGAATTATTAACTCTCAAAAAGTAAATATGGTTCCTCATTTTCAGCCGTAAGTGACTAATATGAATGTAATCATTATTGCACTATACATGATTAATGACCCATAAAGGTCATTTGTATTTCAAGTACTCTAAGGAGTTAAACTTTTTATTTCCCTTTTACATAACCTGCTATACTATATACCATCTTATTACTTTTGTTCCTCTATGCTTTTGTAACTTCAATTTCAACCATATGATTTTAAGTTACAGTTATCACTTACCTCTCCAAACTTGCTATTCTGGATGATGTCCGAGAGAATCTCAACAGCCTTGCCAATATCTTCAGAAAAGCACTTTGCATAGAAGACAGTTTGTTCCCGAGATGTGTAAGCATTGAGGTGTGATCCCATGTTTTCAACTTCCAGTTCAAGATCAGTTTGGGATCTTTTTGAGGTTCCCTGTAAAAAAAAATATATAAAAATATAAAAAAGGGAAGTAACTGAAAAAGTATACTGGAACTAGCTAACAACCACTTCCCCTTGCAGACATACAGGTGAATGACTAATGTAGTACTTATAGACTAGTACCAAGTACAAGAGATGACACTAGTCTTCCTGCCTCCTATTACTTTCATTCAAATTCAAACTAAATGTTCCTCCAAAATAGGTCAGAACTGCTTAAGAACCATCAAAATCATAGTAATGAAATCTGATCAAGTTTTCTTCTCCTTCCATATATACAAATATAAATCTCATTACAGAGTAATATATATTATTTACATGACTTAAAGTGGTATATGTCACATATGATAGTTAGGTTAATATCATGACTTTACTCCCTTGTATGAGGGATACAATCTACAAACAATTCATTATATACAGTAACTCTGCAAAACGAACAGTCAAGCAGATTACTATACCTTGAAAGCCATATGTTCCAAGAAGTGAGCTACTCCATTGTTGGCATCAGTCTCAAAGCGGGAGCCAGTATCTATCCACAGTCCCACTGTTGCAGTTGGAGCACCTGAGTCCTCAGAAGCAACACGCATTCCATTGTCAAGGACTGTGACTCGTGTAGCAGGGACATTCAGTAGTGTCTGCTCATAGCTGGCTGCTGCAATAGTTCCCCGATATCTCACATTCTGGGAGGGATAAAAATTTATAAAGTTGTTTTTTCTCTAAATGCTATGCTGTCAACTGTATCGACTTGTATTCTACATATTGGTAACCACATTCAAATCCTGACTTAACATTTTGCCAAAGTGCATTTTGCACTGTCCACTATACAATGGGAGATACAATATCAAGTAAATAACTATTAGTGACTCCAATATCATCATAAGTTTGCAAGTATAAAGAATGACATTTCCATTTCAACAATTGGAGAAAATTGGGTATGCTCTATGGCCTTTTAATATACTACATTCAACTTTAAGACTAAATCAATTTGCAGTTTACAATGAACTTAATATTTACTCCACCAATGCCACATACTGCCATGTTTCCTGTACTTTTTTTAATCAATTTGTTTACATGTGGATATCAAAAGCATCTAGTCATCATGGAGTCACTTAGCAGGCATACCTGATCTCACTTCATTGCCCCATTCCTTGATTTTTTGGATATTTTTCTAACACTATTACTATTTTATTTACTATTATTATAAATGTTGTTGTTATTGCTGTTGCTTCTGCTGTTGTCATCACTGACACAGATTATTAAATGTTATAATATGACTAACAATACTATCAAAAAGTACTATGAGGTCTGCGAGAGAGAGATGGCAGGCCTAGTAATAGGCTCCTTAGTGCCTAAGAACCTCTGAACCCACCTGTGCATAAATAAAATAAACATAGGAGTGAATACATATGCACATGCCCACCCAGCTTCAATGGGTTAAGCACAATAAAATAAAAATATACAATAAAATAAAGCAAAAGACACTTGTAAATAATCCTGACTTTATAAGAGCCATAAAAAACTGCCCTCTTCCAGAATCAATAATTCACTAATACAGCATTTGAGATCACTGATAACACAGCTTTTACAGAGCATTATTCTAAAACCACATAAGCACCTGCAAATGTGATCACTGTTGTAATACTTTTAAGTAATTAGTAATGAATATACATTAAGTAAACAAGGGGATAGGGTTACTCAAAGTGTAACAATATATGTGCTGGCTAGTACATTTCTGGTAAATTTATAAAAATTAATTTTCTTAAAACCTATCAAATTTGGGATCATTGGACGCAATTGATATGTCTATCAAATATAACAAATAGTCTGCAGAAGTAAAGAATAAGGACAATATGAATGTCTAGAAACTCTCATACCAGCTACTGCTGGGTTGTAATACCACTAAACACCCCCCAAGGACACAATGTCTTTGCCTCAGTACACACAACAAAATGGTGCTGAAACTCGGTAGCACCAAGTGGACCTAGACTGTGGGTGGCAACATTAGTGTCTGCAAATTATTTCTTACACCAATGATTGCAATTTTTAGTCCTCTTGAAGAATACCATCTTCAATTTGGCCTATGTTAGTGGATCCATACTGTAAAGATTAACCAGTATTTTCTGAACCAACTGATTGATTATCTAAAATTATCAGTAATTTTACATGATCGTTCCACGAAACTAAAGGAGATGATTTTGGCATCATCTTATTCTCTAGTATCCAAATATGTAGAAATTATTACAGGATCCCCCGCCCCCATCAACAACAATCTTAACCCTGATAGCAAGGGAGGGCTTGAAAGGTAACAGGGAAATTGCTGGGTAAATTATAAAGAGGTAATTATTACCTAGAGTAACACACCCTCCAGAGACTAAGTCGCAAAACTAGGGTATCATGCAAACCCAAAATTCAAACCTAACCTTTCCTAGGTTAGATTTAGGTTAGGTTAGGCAAGCCCCACTGTACCCATCCAATTATTAAAATTTCATGGCAACTTCTAGGGTCATGAACCCTTAAAGGTTGGGGCAGACACTCATTAAGAGCCGGTCATTAAAGTGATAATCGAGGGTAGTTTGGTGGTTATGAAAAGTAGCTAATAATGTAATATAAATGGGGGTGGGGGGGGGGGTGTGTATATGAGAATAGTATAAAGTGAATAATACAATACAAAAAAAAAAAAAAAAACAATCTGGTAAATTGTAAGAGAAATGATATACAAGTAGTAGTTATCACGATGTTTGTGGTAGTGACATCACATGACATACATCTGCAGTTGCAAAGTTGCTTTGAAAGCTGCGCATGAACTTCTACCCGTGAGTGACTTTTCGACTTAGCATGTTGACTCATATTGTACACACAGTCTTGGCCGCAGTGTGCGCAAGTGGACTTTGCCTCGGCACAGCACTTGTCGCAACCAATCTTTTTCATTTCTGATGTCATTCTTTACCTGTGCAGATCATATCATATATCAGTAAGTATATTTTTTACAAATCTTTATGACAATGCCCTTAGTTTTTCCTCATCTTGCCGCAGTTATTAGATATAGATATACCAAGCTGATACTCGGGAGCACCGAGTGGACTTAGCTGAGAGTAGAAACTTTCTGCACACCAAGTGTATTTGCGGCATTACCATTAATGTCTGCAGATTATTTCTTTTACCATGGACAACAACTTTTTGTCCCCTACTAGAATATCATTCAAATTGCCACCATAACTTAGTGCATCCATTCCATAAAGATTAACCTTACCCCATTGTCTTGTGAATATTTAGAAGGTAGGAAGGGTTAGGATTGGGTTTTAGGACTGTCAATTGAAGGTGCATCCCTCTATGTAACAAATACTGTAAACCAATACCCCACTACCAGACTGTAGAGTATTTTTCTTGTGCGACGAATATTACATTTTTTCATGCGCGGAAAACATTTTGTCTACATTTGCAGGGACAAATCTGTGGATGGATGACGAAACAAGTGCGCAGAAAGCTCAAAAGAATTTTATGTGCAGAAGATGATTTTCTAAAAAATTAAACGCGCGCAGAAAGTTACCTGAACTACACTTGCACGAACAGAATTTGACCATATAATTTTTGGTAATTTTCTATATCACGTCCGCATAACTGATATCGACGATTTTGGTATCGTTGGATTCCTCTCACTCTCCACATTGCAAATATATAGTTTTTATTGCGCGGAAACCCCCGTTAGTGACAAACTTGGCCCCGATAGCAGGGGAGGGCATGGAAGGTTCCAGGGAAAATGCGGGGTTAAATAGCATTAATAATATAACGCACAGTGAAAATAACCATGGTTATTCACATAACTTTCCATTGCAGGGGGCTGTGCCCCCTGCAACCCCCGCCGAGGAAACAAAACCTCCACCACGTATTCCCGGCAGGCGAGAGCGTTACACAATCATCGTCGATGTCTGAGCGGCGGGCGTAATATTATAATTACCTCGTAAAATTCCCGCTGAATCAGCATATTAACCTTATTATAGTCAGCATTGTATGTAGAGACGATTGTAGTATAATCAGGATGAACAGGGTTACACCGATGGCCTCAAGGTCGAGTTTCCCGTGCTCTGGAATAACGACATCCGTATTCCTAACCGAAATAACCGTCGCGTTCAGAAGTCATAGCCGCCGCGATGGCCGAGTGTGGAGGGTGCTCGTATTCGGAGACGTATTTTCTGCTTGAAATTGCAACTAGCTAGGAAAAATGCTAGAGATATGCTTCTGCCACGACCTCCTCCGTGGGGAGAAAGCTGTATCCTCCGGCCTAGGACCTCCTGCCGGACGCACCCTGCCTCCTTAACATTCTGCGGCAAAGGAGCACCCTCCCTACTAATTAGCGGCATTAATCAATCAGGTTAGTACCTTAAAAATCCTAGGTTATTGTAGGTTATTGGCTCCGCATCTAGTTCGTGTGCGCTCTATCCTGCCATGAATACGTGGTGGAGGTTTTGTTTCCTCGGCGGGGGATGGGGGGCGGTAGCCCACCCCCAGGGCGGGTCGCAGGGGGATCAGCCCCCTGCAATGGAAAGTCATGTGAATAACCATGATTATTTTCACTGTGAGGTTATATTATTAGGGTAATTTTATATATTACGTCCCCCACTCCAACATCGTCGCCCCCGCTATCGGGGCCAAGTTTCGCTAACGCGGGGTTTCCGCGCAATAAAACCTCCATATTTGCATTGTATAGAGTGAGAGGAATCCAACGATACCAAAATCGTCGATATCGGTTATGCGGACGTAATATAGAAAATTACCTAATTTTTTACCAAACTCTACAGTCTGGCCCTGCTATCCATATTGACTTTTAAAGTTGCACAATACTTGTACACAAAACTTAACAAGAAATCTACCATACTAAATATATTGAATACTTGACAAGTAAGTGTACACAAAATAAAAAGAAAGATCTACATTATCTACCACCAAATTTGCACAATACGTGTACACAAAACTTAACAAGAAATCTACCATACTAAATATATTGAATATTAAGCTCTGGATTGTTTCTTAAAGCTATCAATGTGCTTAAGGAATATTACAGATTTATCAAATCCTATTAGATAATATACCCAAGCCTTTCTTTGATAATAAACTTTCTTCTTGTTAAAATGTTGCTGTCCTTAAAAACATGAACTTCGAGCTTCCTTCACGGACACCACTGAGCAAACAACAATCACGGAATCCCTTTAATTTATATAATAAATCACCAGGAATTAATATATATCATTGTAACCTACATTTACTATGAAAACGTAGCTGTCGGTTTCGACCTCTGGGAATGTTCCTTCCACAAATACCTCATCAAATATCAACCTCTGACATTTACTTACTCCTACAAAGACTTAGAGACATTCTTCATCCTTTCCTCTGGCACTCAAATCCTACCTTGACCAGGAAAGACTTGTTGGAATAATTTTTCAGGAGAGCTCCGGCTGGTCTTAGCAGGCGAGACATCTTAGCAAGGGAGATTGCGTATGAGTGAAGGCTCGCGTGCCCGGCCCTATATATATATCACCGGGAAACCGCTCCGAAAAGCGAGTCTATAATTTCGACTGCGAGAACTAGCAAAGGAAAGCTGTGTTGCGTGATGTGTGACTAAATTTAGTTTTTGGATTAATATACATGTAATGTGAGAATCCAATGGGTTGATATATCTATTATTTCACGAACGCTTGAACACACAAACACGCGCGTGAGTGTGTGTTTTGTGTGTGTGTGTGTGTGTGTGTGTGTGTGTGTGTGTGTGTGTGTGTGTGTGTGTGTGTGTGTGTGTGTGTGTGTGTGTGTGTGTGTGTGTGTGTGTGTGTGTGTGTGTGTGTGTGTGTTGATATAAATATATATAAGTAATTCCCCCATAAACATGTGTGTATGTATATATGTATGTGTATGTATCTATCTATCAATATATA